GAGCAATGCGGTCTCTGCTCGTAGGGGTGCGGCTGGCAACCGATAGGGCCTTGCAGGGTGCAGTGAGCGCAGCAGCCCACGGGTAGCCGAGCCCTCTCTCGGCGCGGGCCCGCTGCTTTCTACCCACAATGATATTGCCAACGCGCGCCGCAAGCCCTCCTGGCAGCCTGTGGCGCGGGGGGCTGGCTGCGGGGCCGCGGCCGGCGCGAGTCGCCGGCTTGCCGCACAAGCGCTGGGCGCCCTTTGCGCACCCGGGCTCGCCGCGTGCGTGCTGTTTGCATCCGTTGACATCGGCCGCCGACAGGCAGCGCCCGCGGCCGCCGCCGCGGCCGCCTCCGCTGCCTGCTGCGCACCCGTGTGCTCTGGGGCCGGGCAGCAAGCTAGGTCCGCAACAGCATCCAGCGGCATTCCACGCATGGTCCGTTAGCGGCCGCCCCGCCCTGCTGGTCGCAGCGATGCAGGAGGTCATCTGTACATAATAGGCGCACCCGCGCGCGCCCTTGCAGAGGCGCCCCTTCGCAGCCGGCCCCCTCCTGCGCGGCGCGTGGCGGCTGCGCCTTGTCCTGGCTTAACGAAGCGCATTTGCGCCGCTTTTCTCGCTGTCTGTTTTTGATTGCGGGCGGCGCCGCCCCGGCCGCCAGCGCGGCGCCGTGGGTCGAGCGCAGCTGCCGTCTGCCGTTTTTTTTGCAGCCTGTGTGGTTTTGCCGGCAAGCAGTGCACACATTGTTACACTCACTCCCCCCTGCACACGCGTAATGCCCTGTCTGCGGGACGGCGCCCCAGTCCCCCAAACCACTCCATGGGGGTTTTCGCATGCTGCTGACCCTGAGGTTCAGCCGGCTGGCCAGTGCTGTGAGGCTCATCAGCAGGGCGCCTGCATCAGCAAGCAGCTCGTCCCCCTGCCCGTAATTGCGTAATCCCAATTACGCGGTGGAGCAGGTATTTGGAGTGTGTGACCCTGTGAAAGTTGGAGTGTGTGACCCTGTGATAGCTGTCCGATCTGCCTACCACCAAAGCTCAACCCAACACAATGCAGCTGGAAAATGACCCCAGGCAAGTTATCAGAAAGCTTAGCAGTGTTCCCGCCCTTTCAGCGTGCACAAGGCAATGGGTGACGGTTGCTGTTGTGCGGCGGCAAATGCAATGGGAATTGGAATGGCAGCCTTCCGGGGGAGCACCGACCACAGCCGAAAAGGGTAATCGTGGGAGGGTCCGGGCGAGCGCGCTGCCAGTGCTGCAGTGTGAAAGGGGTTGGCCGCGCCCGGGGAGGGGGGCGGCGCGCTGGAGGCGCGAGCGTTCGGGGGCCGGCGCGGGTGCCACCAATGGACAGGTCGGGTGTGGCTTGGATTGGAGAGGTGTGCCCAGGAGGGGCGTGGGCCTTGTACCGGCGAGCCGTGGGCTCTGTCACTGTGCGGTGGCGGCGCCCCGACAAACAGACGGTGATGTGGCATGCGTGGCCCGAGGCAGCATGCGGGGGTGTGAGGCGCTGGCGCGCGAGGGATGCGCTGGGGAGCGCCTGCTTTACAGGCTGCAGCTGCACCCAGCTGCCTGGCAGTCTGGGCTGTCGCCAGCTCTCCTTTGTAGCTCGCTGGTTGCACGCATTGGATGTGTGAGGAGGGGCTCTACGACATTGCATACAATGCATCAGCGAGACACAACAGTGTCCACGGCGTGGGTATGCCGCCGCCTCTGCGAGCCACAGGGGCGAGCAAGGCGTGGACCAGGCAAGGTGAGCTGCTGCGCCAGCTGCCAGCTGCCGCAAGGTCGGCGCGAGTCACGGCTTCCCGCTTTCGGCGCCTTGGCGTCCGGCGCACAGCAGTGCAGCGCGCGACTCGCGGCCGCAAAACTGCGCGGCTTTCCCTGGTGTGTCTTCGGCGAATGTTACAATACTGTTATTGTCTTGCGGTGAATTTTGCTGTTCACGCCGCATCACCGAAACTCACCCGTGTCGGTTTTGGGCACACCCGCGTCGCAATATCGCATACGCGGGTGACACCAGCATACTAAATTTACTTGAAAGTCTCAAAGTCCATCTCCATTGCGTTACAGTCGATTCATTCGTGGCGTGATCCCCGCCCTTGTTGGTCTACCATCCTCACGAAAGCTTCAAAGCCGTCTGGCTGGTTTGACCCCGCAGCCCTCAAGATGCGTGCCGTCACGTTCACCCTCTTCATATTGGCCCTGCTGCTAGCCGTCGCTGCCGCACGGTGAGTAGTGGGGGAGTGGGGTGGAGCCGCAGGCTCCAGGGAAGCTGAGCTCATGTGCATGACGAAAGATCTGGCCCGGCTCAAAGGCCACCGAACGCCTAGTTTTGGCAGCCAGAGGCTTTTGAGATGGTTGTGATGATCACAGAGGGCTGTGCACAGCTGCTGGCCGGCCCCGTGCATTTGAGCGGGACACCCCAACGCGCAAATGAGCAGCAGGCCCCATGCCTGACTGTGCCGGCGGCCGGACCTGCGAACCTGGACATACCTCAAACCATCACCACCCCACCAACATCCCGCCGCACCACGCAACCCCACCCGTTGCGGCCTGCTGGTCAGACCCAGCCCACGCATGTCCGCTAGCAGTGGCCCCTCTTGCAAATGCCACGTGTACCACTCCACGCAGCCCCCAATTCTCCCCCTCACCACGCCCCTCTCAACCCTCACCCCCGCCACCCACCCGCCCACTCGCAAACGCACGCCCGCGCCCAGGCCCCTCACTCGCCGCGACCTGCTTTCCAAGGATGGCTTTATCTTCGGCAAGGGCGACGTTGTGGCCAAGCCCCCCCTGGTCGTCACCATCCCGACCATCACAGTCCCGGCCATCACCATTGGCAAGGGCTTCAAGAAGGTGGTCAGCGTCACCGGCCCCTCAGTGACCGTCACCAAGAACCCCGGCGCCTACACAGCGGTGAGCCCCAAATCCTGTAGTCATCGCGGCACGCATTCCGGCACTGTGCTGAGGGCTGGCTCGGACGAGGTCAGGGATGTCTTTACCAAGACATACGCAGCGTAATAGCCTCTCAGAGTCACGATCCCCGGCGTCGCCAAGACGTCGCTCTAGTTTGTACAAGAACGTGCCCTCCTACCGCCCTCACCCCACCCACCAACACTGCCCCTCCACCCCTCCAACCCCGTTCTGCCACCCACTGCAGGGCGGTTCAGGCCAGGTCGGCGTCTCTGTTGATGGTAGGTTAGGCACGCGCACAATTTCCACATGCTGGCCGTTCCTAGATTCTTTGCAAGCAGGGGCTTGACTTAACGCAGGTTGCGAGGTGATGACCTGAGATTCGGGCTGTCGCTCGCCGTTTTGCTGACATCATACAGCAAAGCTCACGCTCAGTTCCCTTGCCCCCAACCTCCGCAGCTTCTGGCGGTGCCCCGGCGGCCGGAACTAGCGGTGCTTACGGCGGTGCTGCTGTCTCGGGTGGGGCTGCCGGCGGCGGCGCAGGCGCCGCGCCCACAGGTCCGGTGGCTGCTGGGCCTGCGACGGGCGGCGCGACAGGCGTGGGTGGAGCCACCGCCGGCACCGCGGGCACCGGCGTGGGCACTGGTGCCGCAACGTCGGGCGTCACCGGTACCGGCGCTGCATCCGCCGCCGGCCCTGTGGCGACCGGCGCGGGGGCGCCCGCGGCTGTCAGCTCTACCAACTCGGGCGCTGCGGCCGCCGGCCCGGCAGTTGCCGGCGGTGCTACAGCTGCCGGCCCCGCAACCGCGGGCGCCACGACCGTCGCGCCCACCACCACTTCCGGCACCGCTTCCGGCACCGGGGCCAACACCGCAACCTCAACCGCCGCCGCGCCCGCGGCAAACGGCGCGGTGGCGGCGCCGGGTGCGGCGGCTGCAACCGCGCCCGCAACAGAGGCAGGGGCGGCCGAATCGTCGGACATCAAGGCGGCGCCAGCGCAGGTGGGTGGGTCTTTTCTCGGGCCCAAGTGAGCGGGATCGTGTGCAGTTTGCGTTGGTGCCTGTGTCTCCTGCCGGCCCAGTTTTCTTCAGGGTTGTCCTGTTTGTTGTGGTGATGTGTAGTGGGATGTAAGGGATAGGGGAAGGTGGTTGTAGCGATGGGCTAGTGGTATGGGGGTGGGATCAGAAAAGATATTATTAAGACGTACAGGCCGCCCCGCACTTCTGTGCATATACACACGTTCAAACAGCTGACACACAACCCCTCTGCCACCTCCCTCCCCCTGCGTGCGAAACCCACCACCTCAGCCTGTCATGGGCCCAGGCTTCGTTCCCCTGCCCTCTTCTCCCAAGCCCCAAGCCGACGACAAGAAGGATGATACTCCTGTGAAGGGCCCCGAGTTTGTTAAGGCCAACACGGACATCAAGCTCAACTGAGGGTGTGCAGTCATTGTGGTGGTCACTTGATGGTGGTGGCACTCAACAACCAGACGCGGAGTGTGCTGCAGCCTAGGGCCTGTCGCGCTTGCTGCTGCGGTGTACACCGACCCATGGGCAATGCGTTGGCGGTTGAGCACTATCTGTGCGTGCAGCTGTGCGGATGTGATTGGGCTGGGGTGGTGCGCGATGCATTGGTCGTGCAACCACGCCAACATGACATGCGTCCTGACTTTTGACTGTTCTAGAGATGGAGTGGGCACGACTATTTTATTGTCAGTGTGCCTGGATGGGTGCTATGTTACGAAAAGCAGCCCGCTCGGTTTGTAGCCTTTGCTTGTGCATTGGCCAGTTCTGTCACTGCCAACACAACCACGCAGGCAGTTGCGTGATGCTACAGCTCTGCAATCTGCGCAAGACTGCTGTGAGCAGCCTTATGCACATANTTTTGCTTCTGTGCATACCAGCGTATGCTGCCACATTTGCTTTGGCACCTGTTGCACATTGCGCATTTTTGGCGTTCTTGTCGCAGGGGCTGCTGAGTCGTGCAAAGTGCTCCTGAAATAAAATATAGTAACCCGCCAGTCATGTTTGCCGCGCATATGCCATTACGTGGTTTGCTTCTGTGCATACCAGCGTATGCTGCCACATTTGCTTTGGCACCTGTTGCACATTGCGCATTTTTGGCGTTCTTGTCGCAGGGGCTGCTGAGTCGTGCAAAGTGCTCCTGAAATAAAATGTAGTAACCCGCCAGTCATGTTTGCCGCGCATATGCCATTACGTGGCTGCTTTTCCATCCATCGGCGATGTTGTGCCGCACACGAGGCTGTCTCACTGCCCCTCTACTCTGGCTGGATAGTTGTCAGCACGATACGAGGTGCAGGGCAGGTGAATCATTGCTGTCACCTTTGAGTGATGCGTCAGTTCACCACGGCAGGCGCCAAATCATGAGCAATGATTATTCTTGCGGGGGAACTTTTGACACCTTTCTACCGTCTGCGCTGCAGTTAGCAACATGCCGACGGTGTTGACTTGGGTGGTGGTTGGGATTGGTAAAGTTGCGGGCTTGTTTTACAGATGCACACTTCCTGCTAGCAGGTTGTTTGCACGCACGTGCGTAGTGTCGCTTCGGTCATTTCAGCGATGGATATGTGGGCGTAAGTGCTAGTGTTGAGACTTTTGATAATGCAACTTCAAGCTGTAAATGATGATATTTTGTTGAAAAATGATGATATTTTGTTGAAAATTGAGGTGGAGCAACTCGCTCGTGTGTGAGTTTGGGGGGGTGGGGACGCCATGGCGCACCGAGGTAACTGTCATCTAAGCATGCTAGGTAGTGCTAGCTTTGCACTGACCCAAAACGAGTATTTGTAATGCTCAATAAGCTCAAGTAAGCTACAGTTGACACAGGTTGTCGGATTGGTGCAAGTGCGGCAGCAACTGCTACGCGACACGAGCTTTCGTGACAGCACAAACTTTGTGTGGTGGTGTTGCAGAGCAAGACTACTGGTACTAGCTACTACTGATGGATTCTGTGTAAGTTGCTGTCAATGCGGCTGCGCAGCCGTCATGTGTCTCCTCACAGTATGATAGACAGCGCAATCCAGCAATGTTGCCTTGTGCCACGTTATTCCAGAGGTAATCAGATTTCATGTGGAATTAATACTGTGGAATTAAAGCGAAATTTTATCCGCTTTGAGAGGCTATATTGCCCTAGATCTGCGGGCGGCGATGTACCTGTGCGTGCTGCCGGTGTTCCTGCGTAGTACCGGATGTGCTGACCCTCCAAGCGCTTGAAAAAACGTTCATGGCAATATAGGCAGGAAATAGGACTCCAAACAGCGGATCACCGGGGTCACTCGAGCACATGAGCAGGAACCAGTGCATTTTCGAATGCGCTTAAGTTTCGCTGCGCCCACGCAAAAGAATCACAAATCTCTTGGCTGGTTGCACATATCGAATAACACCACCGTGGCTTTGAACAGCTCAGCACAGTACTTCCGACCCCAACTACGGCATTACAGCCTCGACCCGACCCAGCACAAGAGGCCACACACCATGATCCGAAACTTCTTCCTGATGGCCCTTATGCTCGCCTCAGCAGCAGCGCGGTAAGTGGTGGCCCCAAGCCAGTGCAGCTGCAGGCCTGAAAAGCTCTCGCGCCCGTTCTCTGTGCCGCATACAGCTGCCCCTGATCGACCCCATGTCCCCAGTGTGCCGCATTATGTGCCTCTGCTTGGTTTCAGATGCCAGCACAGCCACTTTGCGCCTCCAGGCTGCCCCGGTCATGTGCTGCGGGTGCCGCCGACTCACCAACACCCAAAGCGCGCTCGGCGCGCGCCGAGCACGAGCATGCGCGCTCGCGGCACACGCACCGCGCAATCTCGACACGCCACCCGCGCGTGGCCCCTCGTATCGACGCCCAGCCATCCACCAACCCTGTCAATTTTGCAGCCACCCGGGCTCCAAGTCTGTTTGGCCCGCCCACCTCTGACATGCATCACCCCCAGCTCAGCACTGCACTACCGTGTGCACCCCATGTCCACAGCCCCCCTGCTGTCCCTGGTCACCCAGCCCAACCCTATCACGCAACCAACACGCAGGCCGCTTGGTGACCCCCAGGCCGCAGCTGGTCGCGAGCTTCTGGACGCGACCACCCTGGCGCCCGCTGCATCCAAGGCGGCCGCTGCAGTCCTCGTCGGGCCGCCAAAGGGGGCCGCCATCCCGACCGACAAGCCCGCGGGTTCTCCTGCCATCACGTTTGGCCTCCCTGGCCCCTTTTTTACGAAGCTCGGCGTCGTGGTGAGACGTCGGGGCCGGAAGCCGCCGGCGTGGGCGCAGCTCCCAACCAGCGCGGCCGCGGGGATGCTGCAGCTGCGACGCTTGCGTGGTCGCGCGGCGCAGTGGCAGGCTTGACGAGCTGCGTGCCCGTTCTTGGCGCTGAATCGCACTTGCGCGCGTGGGATGGTCGAAAAAACCTACCTGAGCCCCGGCTGCCCGCGTCTTATCACACGCACACTCACCCCCCCCCCCAATGCCCCTGCCCTCGCCTCTGCCCTCTCTTGCATCCTGGGGTGCTCAACTTTCAAATGCATCATCAGATCAACAGTGAGTACCTCCTGCCATGAAAGGGATAGGCAGAAAGGGGGGAACAGCTGGATGCATGCAATCCATAAATGCGCATGCCATAGCCCAGCCGTGCCAGCCCGCAACATCTCACCGCCGGGATCCCCGATGCCTCCAGGGCCGGGGGGGGGGGGGGCAAGTGGTGCGGTGC